GGGGTGTCAGACCCCGTGTGTGAGAGAGACAGACGGACAGACATCATGGTCCTGTGTTGGAGTGTCAGATCCTGTGTGTGAGAGAGACAGACGGACGGACATCATGGTCCTGAGTCGGGGTGTCAGACCCGTGTGAGAGAGAGACAGACGGACGGACATCATGGTCCTGGGTTGGGGTGTCAGACCTGGTGTGTGAGGGAGACAGACGGACGGACATCATGGTCCTGAGTTGGGGTGTCATACCCCGTGTGAGAGACAGACAGACGGACATCATGGTCCTGAGTTGGGGTGTCATACCCCGTGTGAGAGACGGATGGACGGACATCATGGTCCTGAGTCGGGGTGTCAGACCCCGTGTGAGAGACAGACAGACGGACGGACATCATGGTCCTGAGTCGGGGTGTCAGACGGACAGACATCGTGTCCCGTGGAGTCCCTGCAGGAATGCAGAGCCAGTTCTACATTAAGAATCCAACAGCAGCCGCAGGAAGACAGGCCTGGGGGCAGAGGTGACTCAGAGGGCCTCACCAGGGGTACAGTTGCAGTTCTTCTGAGTCTGGTGGCTCTGGGTGGCAGCAGCCCTGCCTCGGGATGGAGCTGGCTTGGCCTCGAGCTCAGGCACTTTGTTGCTGATCTTAGTGTCTGTTTCTCGCTTTCCCACTCCATGACGTTATTTCATTGCTTGGGATGGCTACTTAGTTCAGTTTGGTGTCTATTGGACACCTGTTTGGAACGGTGCTGGGACACAGAGATGATGCTCAGGTCCTAAAGCCAGCAATGGCAGCAATGGCCTTCCCAGAAGGTGGCAGGAGGGCGAGGGAGCAGGAAAGACTGGAGACCTCCCACTGGGAGGTGCAGGGGCTCAGCCCTGCTCCTGTGGCCTGGCCTGGGCCCCGAGCCAGCCTTCCGCCTCCTCACAGCCTGCTGTCCACTTGGGGATGGTGGTCATTCAGCCTGTGAGAGCTGGCAGCCCCTGGGGAAAGGCAGGGCAGGGCCCGGAGAGGCTGGGTGGCCTGGTCAGGGGAGCCTGGGTGTGGAGGGGAGGAGGGCGGTGCAGGGGCAGCAGTTGAGGCCCCTGTGGAACAGTGGCCCTGCACAGCGGGAGGACAGCACTGAGCTGGCATCTTCCACAGACTTCACCTGTCTTTGCCATCCCTGGAATCGATGCCACCTCCTTCCCGTTGTCCCAGACAGAAGGTGTGCTATTGCCCTTCACTTGGAACATGGGACTCCAAACTGGACCCGGGAATGCAGGGCCATCTGAGGCAGCTGGCCGCCCTCTCCCTCCTGTCTCCCACTCCTGTTCTGCGTCCAGCCTGCCCCTGCTCCTTCAGGACACAGCCTGAGGGCCACTTGCCGCTAGCCAGTGCCCTTCCTGCTGCCTCCTGTCCGCAGCGGGCTGTGGCTCCACCTCTCCCCATGGCAGCAGCCGCTGTTTTCCTAGATCCTGAATCAGAACGGGCCGTTTCTGCTTGGGGTCTTTCTGTGTCTTCTGGCCTCTCTGGGAGGCAAGGCCAGTTTCTGAGTGGGCTCCATGAGGCCCACTCCTGTGGCCTCCCAGCTGCCCGCCTCCTCCTCTCCATCTGCTGCAGTCTGCAGGCACCATTGGAGAATGTCCCTGGGCTTTTATTTCTTCTCAGGCTTGGTGAGGCCTGGGATCAGGAGACAACAGTCATTGATAGAGGGCTTGTGAGGGCTCCCCGAGGGCAGGAAGGTGACCGCGTGCACAGGGTCCATCAGGTGAGGGGTTCTGGTCGGCTTAGGGGGAGCCGGTCCTGGGGTTCCTGCAGGAAGGCGTGTGTGAGGCAGAGTAGCAGGCCTAGGACTGGCCAGCTGGAACGATTCACTGGCCTTAGAATAGGGGCTGCCCCAGCGGCCTGGTCCCTGGTCCTGGGGCCAGGAGGACAGAGGCGCAGTCTCCTGGGGTGTGAGAGCCGGGCGGGCTGAGGGGCAGGCAGGACTGCATGGTGGCTTGCCTTCAGAGATGTTTTCCCGGGCAGCCTGTTTGCCAGCTCTGGGATCGTCCTGGGAGGGAGGCCGCAGAAGCCAGGGCAGAATGTAGACGGTCGAAAGCTAGGGTTCACAGAGCCAAAGAGGCCCCAGTTCTCCCTGAAGGGCACTGGTGTCGCTGTCCCTCGACCTGGTCCGTCCTCCCCAGGTGCCCCAGGCTTGGCTCAGGGGCGTTCTCCTGACCGGCCAGAGAAGTCTTTTCTCCAGTGGACCTGTGAGGACAGCAGCTTTGCCTGCCTGGTTGTCCCTTGTGTCCCTGTTCTTGGCACAGAATAGATGTCTGATGAATGGCCGTGAGTGAAGGGAAAGAGAGACCCTCCTGGGCAGGAGCGGAGCCTCGTGCCGGCCTCCCAGGAGCAGGGGTGCTGAGGCTGAGCCCAGCTGTGCAAGTGCTGGTCTCCTGGTTGCTTTGTTCTGTCTTTGTAGCTATGATTTCTGGTGAAGACTGTTTATTGAGTATAAATAAATGTCCTGTGCAGTAAATATCAAGAAATGTTCATTATTGATTACAGGTTGGGCTGTAATGCTGAGGGAACCACAGAGTCAAAATATCCACTGGTGATACGTCAGTGACCGTTGCCTTCCAACACTGGACACATGATCTGCTCACAAGACACAAATCCTCACAAATCCTACCAAAAGAGCCGCCACTCTGAGCGGCCTATATGCCACGATGGAAGGTGGTTTTGAATCATAGTATGAACAGTCTCCATAGTTTCATCTTCACCTCATCAATTTCCTAGGTCATCCTGAGACTGTAGAGTCACACTGTCACAAAATCTAAAGATTTCATCTCCTTGGTTTTATTTCAGATTGTTATCAATGAGTGAAAATGAATCATACAAAGCCAAAGATACTTTTAAGTTAATCTTTCATAAGAGAAAAAGAATCAAGCTCCCCCCAAGCAATTTAGCTATGATTTCTTACTCATGGAAGATCTGTTTTTTTTTTTTCCTACTAATACTACCCCAGAATAATTCTGATAAGTTGAGAATTTAGAGCTTCTGGCCCTATGAGGACAGACTCAGTTGGCTGCAAATGACTAACCAAATCAATTGCAATGTTAAGCTTAAGTTTGAGAGAGGTGGTTTACTACCTCTCACCACAGACTAATCCAGTTCTATAAGCTTCAGGTGTGGTTCGATCTAGGTTCTCATATAAAGTCATCTGGACTTGTTCTCTCTCATCTCTTGGCTCCCCCTTGTGGCAGAGTGGCTGCCAGCAGCTCCATGCCTGCATCCTGGCAGACCTGTCTGCGTCTGCAGCCCTGGCTCCTGTGCTCTTGGCTCTGTTCCAGGGACTTGGGTGCCCTAATTGGCTGGGCGGAGGGCTGAGTGCTGGATTTGCAGTCCTACCAAGGCCAGTGGCCGTGGGCGAGGGCGGCTCCTGAAAGGAAATTGGGTGCTTGTGGCTCAGCAGGTGGGGTAGAGGCCGAGTGCTCAGTGCCATCCAGTGTCCGCCGTGGGCGAGGGCGGCTCTCGGCTTGGCTCCTCAGGCTCCTCCCTGCTGTCTCCCAGGCTGTGCTGGAGGTGCTGTCCGGGCCTGAATGCCACCTGCGCGTGTCTCTCTTTGACATCACCTACCGATACTTCTTTGGGAAGACGTGGAGAACCTCAGCGAGGCCGGTCCAGCAGCCCTCGAGGCAGCCATCCAGGATCGTCTTTGACGAGGTGGGCCTGGGGCCGTGGGCGGGGCTGCTG